CAAGGTCAAACAACTTCTATTCAACGAAAGGAGACTGCGACCACCCAAAAGGCCACACCATCTTGGTCTTTATACCTTCGATTAATCCTTAAGGTTTTTAGTAGGCAGAAATCTGGTATCCGCGGTATATAAGAGTAACAGTCTTCTTTTTGGTCTGAACAATAGAGTTCATGCAATTTGTAAGCATAAAAACGTGTGGGCTGGCCAGGTGAAATTATCACTGTCCAGGACAGACAATACTAAACGCTATATTGGTGGGTTACAATGTATCATAAACTAGGAAAGTATACTAAGGAGCCAAAACAATAATAGATATAGAAACTGAATGTATGGATCAGCCATGAACAATATGAATCATAGTGAGGCAATCAGAAAAGAATTTAAGTGCCTAGTTTTGCCTCTTGGCTAAGTTTTACGGAGAGTATGGAGGTCCCTCATTCAAGACGACGCTAGGAAGGAACCTACTGAAAAACTGATAGTAACGACCCCCCGTTAGTGAATAGGCATTGGAGATCATATCAAAGTTGTTGATATATGGATATATAGATTCCAGATTTTGTTCAGAAGACTACTAGAGTCGATCCTGCCCAAATAGTATAGGGAAACCCATGCTGAGTGGGATTACTTACATAAGGGTTTACAAATGGTTTAATCTTTATCTGGAACCGTGACAAGTCTTAGAAGTTAATTTCGTACAATATATGGACAGGCTAAAAGTTCACAATAATCCGTATAATCATCTTTTTAAATTCTTCAACACAATAAGAACTCCCTACTTCATTTCGAAAGCACGTTAAAAGCGTAGATATGACTGGTTTTATTTTCACTCAGACTAATTTATTGGAATAATCAGAAAATATATAAATAAACAAACCAAAGGGCAGAGAAAACAAAGGCTTTGTTTATGAGAAGAAACTATAAAGTCATGACCATGCACATCTAGGCATATTTCATCTTTATAAACCTCTAAATGTACAATATCATGAGAAAGAAAAATTTATTTATATTTGTATGCTCATTGAGCAATTTAAGGTGCATACATCTCTTTCCGTTTTGCGGCCCGAGACTCTTCATCGCCAGGCAAGGATGCAACCAGCCTAGAACGGGCCCTTTTATCCGCCTCTATCTGTAGACGAGCATCCTCATGTCTGGCAAATTCTTCATCTTCTTCAGTGATAACCACTGGTTGAGAACTAAGACGTGGGTCCGAAAGCAAGTCGTGCGCACTCTTGCCCTTACCTTTGAATCGCTAAAATATTATTAGGCAGAACAGGACTAATAAAGTATAGATCACGGTGAAATCAAGATAAAATGTGTATGTTACTGATGAATGGCAAGCAATAAAACAAAAATGTTAGAAGAGAGATTTTGAAATTATTAACTTAAAATCTTACGAAAGTATAATGGATTTAAAATAATACACGAATTTTGACAAGTATTTGGGACTTCAGTTAAAATTATCATAGAGATCTAACAATGACAATTGTAAATAATCAAAATAATTGGTAAAATTAGCAATAAAAGCGATTATATAATGCAAACTAGAAATAAGAAAATGGAATCATTGTGGCATCCTGATCAGCTACAAAGTTCTGCGCTCATGTGGTAAGATCTATGCAAGGGGGAACTGCTGACCCATCTAATCACTAAGCCGCAGGTAAATTTTCATGGGCCTATAAAGCCGAGATAGATGAACACGTTTAATAAAGGACACGAAATAGAATGGTCTAAAAAATGCACTTTGCAAGCTACGGGAATTTCACATTCAAGCGTAAGATTATCGAGTATATAGAAAGGAAAGAAAACGGTCAACATCCTGAATTGTAAAATTAATGTAGGAAATTGAGGAAATATTTTTGGCTGTTGGATAGACCTAAGCAGAGACAGGAAGAAGAAGAAGAGGAAGAACCACAAAGAGGGGGCTTGAATAGCTTCGAGTGTGGATGGGACTCTCTAACTCGACTTGACAATACGCAATACAACCTGCGTAAAATGTTGCAGGATCATGAGTTTGATTAGTTAGGCAAGGAAATAACTGCATCTACCTCCACTCCCCTTTCATGCATCAAAATTCCCCATCTACAAGAATGTATTAGGTATGAAATAGCCAACAAAATTATGAGATATCCCATTAGGATCGCAAAGTTAGGTATAAAAAAATAAATGCGATTGCTCCGGGCATATTTTCGCAAAGTATGCTTTCTCGCTTTCACAATGTCTGTCATATGACAGAAGAAAGGTTGGCATATGTACATCAAGGTCAAAGGAAGGTGAGATGAAGACTTTTTCACGCAATCCAACAGCCTTCACTCCGCAACAATCCTCCTTTGGTTTCCGGTAAGACCATTTCACGAATTCTTCTTACCAAACGTATCCTCCGAAATATAATGTCATGTCACAATAAAGCTTATTCAAGAAAACAATGCAAAAGTGAATTACCTCTGAAACTGCAGCAGCCACTTCCTCCTCTACCTCGGCTTCTTCGCCAAATGAAAGCAACGAAAAGTTTCTGGCAGAAAATACAAGTAAATCTGGTCTTTATAAATATGCAGAGGAAAGTAATAAAGTAAATAAATTGGCGCACTAAGGGTTAAGAAAAAATGCCAAACATAAAAAAGTACCGAAGGTATGAAGACCATGATAGCGCGACATTTTGTCTGGTCGCGGTCTACTTTCGTTTTATAGAAGTTGCTTGACCTTTTTTCGCAACTTTGTCATATTGACAGGAAGACCTTGAGGACAACACCTTGCCCGGAGTCCATAGTATGCATGATAATTTCCAGAGTCATATCATGGATTTGATACATTTCCAGACGTTTCGCGGACATCGTTAGGGAACCTAGCCAGTCTTAGCACCACAATATAACGCGTCAGAGAAAAATGAAGCCGATCCTTTGACCAATTGTGTGATAAACAGTTGTATTACTCCTGTCCTGGACCATTCATCTATCCTATATCCTGGTATCACCCATTCAATATCATAATTTCTAACTTGTTTATCTAAACTTATTTGAAACCTATTCACACTCCCACTGTGCCGGGAGTGTTGATCCAAGGCTGCAGTTTAGTCAGTAATCATCTCCCTTCGGATCATATGAGATTCCCCCTCTTACGCGGTAGAATCTTTCCCTTATAGGCCTGTTTCAGGGATTTGACTACTTACTGCCATCGTATCCATGCTATTCAAGGTGTTATTTTCCACACTCTGCTTCAAGCCTTTGATAGCACCTATACACCAGCCTAACAGAGCAAGCCCCTAAAGTCTGGATTCTCAATTATCATGGCAACATAATTTAGGACTTCGGATTCTCTTATCGAGTAAATCTCGAAGTCAAGCCTTTACTTCAGGGAGCAAGTATATGAGCAAACTTATCCACGCTCATATGAATCTAACTAGAAACGATCACCATCGTTTCCTTCGGTCTTCTTCCCCTAACGCCGAGTATATGATTTTCTCTTCCGTGCCGACACCTAAATGCGATGGTTTTAGTTTATTTGAATAAGCCCATTGGGAACGTCTTGTCTTAGTTTCCGATTGTTCTTGTCTGGTCTTCGTGTAATGCCTTTTCCAAAAATTAAAAACATTAAAACAAGGAGTCAACCCTGCCATTTGGCCTTTATGAATTGTTTCAAACATTATGGT